ATTCACTCGGGGAGCAAGGAACGAGGAAACGAGGAGTACTTGAATAACACAGTCTTTAATAATCCACAGCAAAACCGAGAACAAGGAGGACATTCAACAAGTAGACCCGACAAACAAGAACTGAAAGGACTAGGGCTTTTAAAGGCAGGATAATTGGGGAGGAACAAGACACACCTGGAATCAAATCAACACAATCAACATGAGGAAGAAACTGGCTCACAGGGGCAAAAACACACACAGAATAGTCCATAATCCTGACAAAAGGAAACCAAGTCTGAGATGTAAATCTGTTAATTTCCCAACAAAAATAATCTCTTATGTGCTCTACTTTTTAACAAGGTTTTTCAAAATATCAGTATAATAAAATTGAGTAGAGTCCATAAACTGTAATACGATTATTGCATAAGCAGTGACAAAATCTCATTAAGGTCACTAAAAATGAACGAAATAAAGAAATAAAGGAAAAAATAGAATAGGGTAAGATGTGTCAGTGCCTTAATCTAAGACATTGTGCATGATTTAAATTGCACATATTTCTACATTTACATGGAGAAAATATTCACTTGGTCTTGTTGAAAAAATGTAAAGTGGAGTGTCTTTTTTCCTAAAAATCCATAATTCTACTAATGTATTCTTTCTCTTAATTTCAGTAACAAACATTCTGAAAATTAATTAGTTACATTTGTTTTACAATATCTCTAATTTCTCCTAATCAAACATTTTAGACAAAGTTACATTTCCAAAGACCAGTCAAAATTCAGTGAAAATGAAGAAAAATATCATATACATTCACCTCAAAAACTGAATTATAAACCCTAAATGACACACTAAGGTGTTGACTGATTCTTAAAAATGATTTCCTCAAAAATGATATTTCTGCTGTATAAACACATTTTTACAAGAACATCCACTATCTTTCCTGTAATTCTCCACTTCCTCCTTCCTGCTAACTGCATTTCCTCTCAGTGGTGTCTCTGTAAAATTCAGATAATCTGATTGTATGCAGAAACATTCAGCTGTTTTTCAGATCTCCGCTGAAACATTCAAGATCACAATAATTATAGTACATGCATTTTTTGAATTGGAATTACTAGCATACTTCTGACTCATTCCAAAATATCTCAATAGGAATTTTCTGATAGGATTCTAACAAAACACAAACTATATATTTTAAAACTATATAGTTCCCAATAGGATTATTATGAACTAACAGGAATAAAATAAGATCCTACTGAATAAACTGAACAAAAATTTTTCTTTTGTTTTTTTGATGGTGATATATTTATGCCACATACAGGCAAGCACATACATAGTTCTAACTCACAGTACCCCAGAAATGAAGTGTGGAAAAGATCCCGGGCTTGACTAAACAGAAACAGCCTTTCACTCTCACCTCAAATTTGCCCTTTTTCTCCGCCGGCCCTTCACTCGGGGTGGGGCTGTTACTGGGGGTCGCGTTAGCACGTGGAACACCCTCCCCCTCCATCTCCTCCACTATCATCACCGTCTCCCAGACTGGAGCTTGCCGAAAATGCCTCGATCGAACACTCCCTCACATATCTACGTCACTATGTCGAAATATTTGCATAATGCCGCCCAGATGTATACGTAAAGAAAGAAGGCATTGTTTCAAGTATCATAGTAGTGTTGTTGCCGCCATGTTGTGGAGATGCTGTGTGCTTCTATGCTTTATCTGGCCTTCCAAATCAGTGGAATCAGTGGTTAAGATTTATTTACAACACTGTTCCAGAACAGTACAACCCAAATGTTTGAGTGTGTGCAGCGCATTTTACGGAGGACAGTTTCCTGAACCTGGGAGAGTACAAGGCCAGCTGTGCACAAAGGCTGTTTCTAAAAAATGGGGGACATTCAGGCTCTTCTGAATCAGAGCCCGTAAGTATGTTTTATTATTTGATACTGACTATTCAAATGCAGAGTTCGGTGAAGTGTAAAGTAACGCATATTGTTTGTCGTTCTTACCATCACAAGTGCAGAGATGGATTTGTGTTTACAAACATAGTATCCTCTGTTCTCTGCTTATAACTGACGGCGAAAAGATGACAAACATAGATGCACTACGAGTTCTGTTTCACACTGGATGCTCAAACAGAGCTGAAGCCGCACGCGCCCATTCCGCTCTGATGTGTTCGGCTCAAATCGCGCTTGCCAAGTTGGTTCCGATCGATCGGCTTGGTCATCTGCATTTTCAGACCCTGACTCAGGCTCGAACTGATGGTAAATCTGACCCAGATAGCACACGTACGTCTGCAAGATGTCTGTTAAAGATCGCTTCATCTGGAAAGCATCTGCTGTGTACAAACATCTGATAGACGTCTTTAAGATGTCAGTTTTACATTCATTCTAAATCATAAACATCTTAAAGACATCTTCTAAACGTCTATTTGACATCTGATAGGAAACGTCCTATAGACGTATTGCAGATGAGCAAAAACTCTAAAAAATAAGTCTTGCAGACATCAAATAGACGTCTCTGTGATGTCCGTGTGCTATCAGGGGACAGCATTATTAACTGTACTTATAATTTGCGATTATGTTAAGGCCGGGTGTACACGGTGCGATTTTTGCTGTCGTACAAGCTCGTATGTGATTTTCTCCCATCGGGAGAAATGACGAGCAGAGCGCCTCCCGAGCGACCGATAATTTTTAAGCATGCTTACAAAAATCAAGGAGTCGGCCCGATTTTGACCAGTATATGGGCCATTCTACAGAATTGGTCCAAACTGCTGTCCCACAACCAAAAAACACATTTTAAAAGCATTTAAGTATTCAAATCTTATGTTTACTAAGATCCTTCTATTATCTATTGAAACCCACAATAATATTTAAAAGATTAGTGAGCTTAATATATATAAAATCATAATTTATTGGGTACTTTCAATTGGGAGGTTGCTGTCCCGAACCCTAACCCCTTCATGATTTCAACTTATGAAAATTATATTGAAATAGTTTTTGTATTTTTTCCATTGTTATTTTTAAAAATATATTTTTGATTCTTTTAAAAAGTTCCAAAAAATTTATTTGATATTTTCTTTGTAAATTATGAAACTTTATGTAAAAAAATGTGTCCCGCATTTTCATGTCACTACCGAAACAGTGTATGTTTTAGTCCATTGGCTGAGACTGCATTTATGATCAGGAAATATTTATGTGTCTCTCTCTCTCATAGCTACAGGTGAGTAGATAGGTCCCATCATTTTGAGGTAAATGTGCTCAAAAGTCTGAAAAATCTGTGTGTAACTCTAAGGAACGTCACTACCGAACACCTTTTTTTTCTGCAATTAAGCACACTTTTTTGGGAGTTTTTCCCATATCATTTAATTTGTATGTGTGTACAACTGTTCAGAACTGTGCTAGCTAACCATGTGCTGATTAGCATCTTTGAGATAGGTTCAAAAGTATCTAAAATTGTCACTACCGAAACATTTGGTGGAGTTTCGGTAGTGACATCTTT